TATAAAACCTATCATATCTGTTAAAGTAAGGTTTGGTATGGGAAATAAAGGACCAATGAGTATTAAAGAATTATGCCAAAAAAACTACAAGTGTCCAACAAAAAAAGCAAAAACTTGAGCGATTTATCGCTAATTGATCCCTTTAGGGATCTGAAATGGACTGATGAACTTGCAAATGAACATCATAAACCAGTTATAAAAAAATTTAAGAAAAAGAAAAGTAATTTCAAATGGAATTGATGAAATATGGGCTGCGGATTTAGTTGACATGCAAGCTTATTCTAAATTTAATAATGGTATAAAATACTTATTAATGTTCATTGATTTATTTTCAAAGTATGGATGGATAATTCCATTTAAAAATAAGACAGGAATTGAAGTTGCTAATGCATTTAATAAAATATTTAAAGATAGGAAATGCAATAATTTATGGGTTGATAAGGGTTCAGAATTTTATAATAAGCATGTTAAAGCATTAGGTGTGCATCTCTATTCAACTGAAAATGAAGAAAAAAGCTGTGTAGTTGAACGATGGAATAGAACAATGAAAGAAAAAATGTTCAAATACTTTTCAGCTAACTCTACTAGAAAATACATTGATGTTTTAGATGAAATGGTAGATCAATACAACAACACAAAGCATTCTTCATTTAAAATGACTCCAGCTGAGGCAAACGATAAAAAGAATGAAAATAAAGTTTGGATGAATCTAAATAGTAAAGTGATATCTAATTCTATTCATCTTAAGTTTTCAATAGGTGATAAAGTAAGAATAATTAAAAAGAAAGCAACATTTGAAAAAGGATACACACCAAGATGGACTGAAGAGGTATTTACAGTATCACAAGTTCAGTACACAGATCCACCTACTTATAAAATAACTGATTACAATAATGAAGAAATACAAGGTACTTTTTATGAACAAGAACTTCAAAAAACAAGTCAAAAGATATTTAGAATTGAAAAGGTTATTCGTAAACAAGGTAATAAATCATTTGTAAAGTGGTATGGGTATCCTGATTCTTTTAACTTATGGGTTAATAATACAGAATTGAAAGCGATTTAGCGAAGCATTGATCACAGAGTGATTTAAAATTATCTTACATATATAAAAAAATGAACAACTCAAATGTAAATGTGAATATATGTGTCAGCTACTTCTGGTAATGCTAATACAAATACTACTGTAACAACAACAACTTCAAATTATAGTTCTAACAAATGATACAAGAAAAAAATTGTACATTTTACAAGAAAAGTAATTTTTTTGAAATGATATAAATAATTTTCTTTACATAATAAAAGAATGGAAAACGAAATGCGAAACGAAATAGCTAAGCAAGGAATCACAGAGTGATCTAATTAATTCTTATAAAATATTAGAAGAGTTAAAGTTAGAATTAAGATTAAAAGAAGAAAGACTTGAGGAATTAATGGATATAGAAGATGATATTGAAAGTACAATAATTTATTTAAGAAGTGATAATTCTAATTATGATAATGTTAATGATTATATATTATTTCAAGAAAATATATTTTAAAAAATAAAAGAAAAAATAACAGACTTGAAAAGTAGATTAGAAGAATTAAAGTTAGAATTAAGATCAGAAGAATTAACATTTGATATAATAGTAGGTGATAAATTATTAGAAAAAGGAATGAAAAAATGTGGAATGGAAGATAAATTTTGGATAATATCATCTTTATTATTTGATAATAAAGTATTAGAATTAAATAAATGTCATAAAGAATTAGAAAAAATATCAAGAAACTGTCAAGAAACTGATAAAAAAAGAATAGTTCAATTAAGATTTGAAGATGAAGTAATAGAACAATTAAATAAAAGATTTAGTTCAAGATCAGAATTAAAATTTAATGACTAAGAATGAGAGAATTAATGATGATTATTGGATGTTATGAAAAAAAATATAAAAAAATATTGATAGATGAAATAGAAGAAGAATTAATTTCTACTAAAAAAAGATTATTAAATTATCTTAAAAATTATATAGAATATGAAGAATATATAGTTAGTTTAAAATATATTGAAGAGGTAGAAGAAAGAATGAAAGCAATAAGATTAGATGATGATTTAAAACTTGTAGTAGAAGCTTTTTTAGAAAGAAAAAGCTTAGAGCGTAGAATAGAAGATAATAAAGAAGATTAAATATAGAATAACTTAGACTATGCTGTAAAAGTTTATAATTATATATTTTTTAAAAAATATATAATTGTTAAAAAAAATTTTTTTAAATGAGTTAACTAATTTTCTTTTATTTATAAAAAAGAATGTTTTATGTAAAAATTGGAGATTTTTATGAAGAAAATTTATATGTAAAAGAAATAAAAAATATATATAAACCTGTTCAATATCAAAAAATAGTAATTGAATACAAATACTCTTCTAAATATTCAGGACCTTTAAGAGTAAAGACTCCAAAAATGTTTTTATATGGAGTTAATGAAAACAGAGACATAAAAACAAAAGAAGTTACAGGATATTCAATTCCTTTTGTATGTGAAAATGAAAAATTTATTAAGATGATTCAATCTATTGAAAAGTTTTGTAGAAATAAAGTTACTGAAAATGAATCAAAAATCAAAAAAAAAGGTGGTATGAAAAGTCTTAATATGAAAAACTTGAATATTTTAAAGTACAAAGATAATGATTCAAAACCAATTTTATATGCAAAAATACCTATAAATTTTGAAAGTAAAAAGATGGAACAAGTATTTAGATCAAAAGATCATGATTTCGTTAGTTTTGAAGATGATAATATTATAGGAGAAAGTCTTGTTAAAAAAAGATGTGATGTAACTAGCTGTTTAACAATTGAAGGTGTATATATCGGATCGATGATTCAATCTATTCAAGTAAAACTATCAGATGCAGTTTTGTATGCAAAAGAGTACAAGAAAGAAAGTTCAATAATAATTGAAGATATAAATTTAGAAAGTGAAGAGTAAATATTTTTTATATTATTAAATAATATAAAAATGATTTAAATAAATTTCTTGTATATAAAAAAGAATGGAAATAAACAATACAAAATATAGATCAAATTTTACAATTAAATTTAATAAAGAAAATTTTGAACTAGATGAGAATAAAAAATATGAAATGGCTTTAACTGAAATTGGAACTAGTTATTTAAACAAATTTTTATATATAAAAGTTTGTATTACATATTTAGATTGTAAAGAAAAATCAAACATTGTATATAAATATTTACCAGAAGATAATTATATTATATTTGGTGATTCTCTTGTTGATCGTGCTATACAATTTCCAAAGAATATATTAGTTAAACCAGACTGTCAACAATTAAATACAAATTTTTCACAAATGGATATTGCAATAGTAGAAAAAAGTGGACAACTGTTAGACTTACAAGGAGAAAGTATAGGAACTCGGTTTATAATTAGAGTAGTAGTTACTCCAACAGAAATAACTAATTTTTTAACTTTTAATTAAATGATCTAAATAATTATTATAAATGTAAAAAATGTATATTGAAATAGAAAAAGATAAACAAAATCCAGTTATCATTAAATTTGACGATATTATTAAACTTGATGAAAATAAAGAGTATGAAATGACTCTTGATAGATTTCAAACTATTCTATATAGTAATTTAAATAAAAACAAAAAAGTATATATATTAAATAATCTTGTAGATGGAAAAATTGTATCTAATAACGGTAATGTTAAAAAAACGACTGTAATGTATTTATTTATGCCTATTATTGTTTCTAAAAATTCAGTTATTAATGAACAACCGATATCTAAGAAATATTTTCTTTTAAAAACAAACTCCATTTCAGAAATGAAAATTGATATCATTGATAACTTTAATAAATCTATAGATTTTAATAATGAAAGCTTTACCATAGAAGTTCATATCAGAGAGAGAAAAAAGTAAGTTCTTTTAGAACTAATATAAATTTTTTATATTGAAAGCGATATAAAAAATTATTACATATATAAAAATGTCAAAAACAATACATATATCTTCAAACGATACTGTTATAAATACTAATATGACTGTTCCTATTGAACTAGATGCAGATAAAGAGTATGGAATAGCTCTAAAAAGATTAATGACTTGGAATAGTTTTCAAAATATTGTTGAAGGAGTAAACAATACTATAAATATTACTATAGAAGCTAGTGATAATCCTATTTTTCAACAAATTAAGATCCCAACAGGATCATATGAACTTGCAAGTATAAATATAGGTAATTATAAATATAAATATAGGTAATTATGTAATGACTACTCTTACAGATCAACTTGCTAAATATAAAGCACTTTATAAAAATACTTCAACAACAGAAGGTTTAGCTGCAAAAGCTATATATGATAGTATAATACTTAATCTAACATCTATTATATTTGAAGCAAATTTTAATACTGAAAAATCACAGATCCTTATTAATAGAAGTAGCAATATCAGAAAACAATTTGATAAAGACTCAATAAAAGATCAATTAGGTTTTAATGAAAGAGATAAAAATGGTAATCTTATAACATTTGACTCATCAAAAGTACATATTTCGGATAAAATAATGGATTTAAATCATGTTAATACTATTCGTATAACACATAGTCTTGTATCAGGATCAATTATAGATGGTGCATATTCAAATGTTATATATTCATTTTATTCATCTACACTCATTGGTTGGAAATTTGTAGAAGTACCAAATAATCCAACTTATTATAGATTATTATTAAAAAAAATTTGGGATATGAAAACAACAGTAGTTGATCAAGATGGGCATATACTTAATTTACAAAGAGAACCAATAAGTATTGAATATGAAATAAAAGAAATTGTATCAAAATGTAAATCAGAACATCTTTTAGAAACACAAGTATCTCTTTTAGAAGAACAAAATGAATTTTTAAAAAGAAAGTTAAAATAATCCTAAAATGAACTAACTAAAAATATTACATATATAAAAATGTTAGATATAAATAAAAAATCATATACTCACAAGTATGTAGTAGGTAAGAGTGGAGTATTTACAGATGTAAATAATATGCATAATCAGGCAAAATCTTCTGATTTTTTTAGAGCATTATCCGGTATGAAAACAATGTTAACTAATCATTTTAATAAAAATTGACCAATAAATAGCAAACCTTAGATTACAAGGTGATTAAGATCCCAAGGAATCAATGCTTCGCTATAATGAATTAAAAAAATATACAGTAAATAAAAATGTTTGTTATAAATAATAAAGGATATACACACAAGTATGAAGTAGGTGGAAGTGGATTATTTACACCTTTTTTAAAAATGTTTAATGAGCAAGCATTATGTAATGCACTTAATTCATCTCGTATTATAGCTAGTAGAGCAGCTGCTACAGACTTAGGAAAAACTGCTATAGACGCAGCCAAGTCTGCAGGGAAAGAATCTGCAACTTCTGCAATATCTACTGCTAAAGAAATTGTAATAAATAAAGGTAAAAAAATAATTGAAAATGTAAACAAATCATCCAAGCTGACACCTAAAAATAAACAAGAACTTAAAAATTTAATAAATACTTTAGATAGTAAAGTACATGAAGCAGTACCAGACATTAATAAAATTATGATGGGATCATCAATAAAAAGTAAACCTATTAGAATACAAGATTTAGTTAAAAAACATAAAGGAGATGGGCTTAGAATATAATAATTTTATCAAAATAGTTAGATTTCATTAAAATGATTTAAAAAAATTACATTGCATATATAAAAATGGTAAAATCTGATATATTTAATATTACTGACAAATTAAGATTTGATGAAGAAATCAAAAAGTATGAAGAATATGAATTTACACCATCTGTTAATTCTAATTTAAATTCAGGAGAAATAAAAATTTTTATTGAAAAGAGCAATTCTTTGTCTCATCCACATGAATCTTATTTAGAAATTGAAAGAAGGCTTGTAAAAGCAGTTGGAACTTCATATGCAAATGCAGATGCAATAACACTAACACATAATGGACTTATGCATTTATTTGATAGAATTGAATATAAGTTTTATGATTCAGTCGTTGAATCAGTTAGTTTCCCAGGAAGCAACTGCAATGCTTGGAATGTTAAAATATCCAAATTTAGTTAATAATGCAGGATTTTCAGCAATACAGCAATTTATCATTCAAAAATCAACTATAAAAGGTTCATTTGAATTAAATATTCCATTAAAACATATTTTTGGATTTTGTGATGATTATGAAAAAGTTTTTTATGGATTAAAGCATGAACTTTTTAGGTGAAGAGCAAGCGATAATAATGCAATTTTTAGAGCTGCTGGTGTAGCTGCAGGAAAAGTAGTTATTACAAGAATATCATTAATGATAAGACGTGCAACTCCAACTGTTTTTAGCAGATTTAGAACTTTCTAAAATAATTAAATCACAAGAAACACCTGATATAGGTTTTTGATCAAGGTTCTTAGATAGAATTAATGTTCCACAAAATACAACATTTACTTGGCCATTAGGAATAAGAACAAGTGAAAAACCTAGATTTATACTTATTGGTTTTCAAACAAATAGAGAAGGAAACCAAAAACAAAATGCTTCAATATTTGATCATTGTGATTTGAAAAATATGTATATTAAACTTAATGAAGAAAGATATCCTGCTACTAATTATAATTTATCATTCCCAATTATGAAATTTACTAGAGCATATAGACATGTGTTAAATTTTGCTGAAGATTATTATAATATGACAAATCTTATTAGTCTATGTGGTATCGCTCCTTCAGACTATAAAGATTTATATCCTATTATCTATTTTGATGTAAGTAAACAATCAGAAAAAATGAAAGATTCAACAGTAGATATTAAACTTAAAGCAGAATTTAATACACCTGTTCCAGCAAAAACTATAATATTTGCTCTCATCATTTCAGATAGAATAGCAAAAATTACTTCTAATGGAAATAAATTAAGATTTGAATATTAGGTTCCTAAGGAATCAAGATTAGCTATGCTAATTAGTAATTTCATTTTAAAAAATCAATAATAAAAATGTGATTTTTTATAGAAAATTCTATAAAAAGCATGTATTACAAACTTTGCAATAAATTAAAAGAAGTTGATGAAATTGAAAAAATTTAAAAAATATAAACAAGAAAAAAAATACTTTTATTTAAATTATTTTGAAAGTAATTTAAATAAATTTTCTTTATATAATAAAAATGAGTTGCAAAATAAAATATAAGAAAAAAGTGTTTATTAAAATTACTAAAAGAAAATAATGTACAACAAACATCTAAAGATCCTATGGCGTTAGTTAAGATTGCTATGGATAATAATTTAATTGATAAAGAATCTGTACAATCAAATATCATTACTAAAAAAGAAAAAGTTAAAAAAGAAAAAGTTAAAAAAGAAATAGTTAAAAAACCTAAAAAAGAAAAACCAATAAAAGAGAAAAAGCGTGCAGGAAGACCAAGAATTCATCCTATAAAAGAAAAAAAAGATAGAGATCCTAAATATGATAGGCTTGTAACAATTAGAACAAATCCAACAACTATAAAACTAACTAATGTAGAAACTGGAGAAATTAAAACATAAAATTCTAAATATGATTATATCAGAAAAGAAAAACATGGACAAATATATTTAGAAAAGTATAATGGAAAAGTTAAAAATGGTGAATTAATAGAATTAATAAGAACTGGATCTGAAAGAATTAAATTAGAATGTCCTGAAATTACTCAAGATGAAAAAGAAGATTTATAATGTTTTAAATTATTTTTATAGAATATCTATAAAAATATAAAAAAGAAATTTATTTAAGTAATTTTTTGATTTTTTAAAAATACTTTTTTAATTTTTTGTACAAGAAAATTAAAAAAATTGAAATTGACATAAATAAAAAAGTCTTGTATATAAAAATATTGAAAATATGACATTACCAGAATTATAAAAAATTGCTAAAGAGGGAAAAATCAAATATTATTACAGAATGAGAAAAGCAGATCTTATTAGAGCAGTTGAGCAAGCAACGCCTATACTAGATAGACCTATCCCAAGCAACATTACACAAAATACTTTAACACCAACTCAGTATATTCCAAGTAAGTACATTAATATTGTTAGTAATAAAGTAAATTCATTTGCTAATTGGATTATGGACTATGTTCCTGAACCTATTAGAAATACAGCTAATGAGAGATTGGCATCAATAAAATCTACAGTTTCTAATTTGTATAAAAAATTTGGACTTAGAAAACAAATAGAATTCAAGTTAACACAAACAGCTGTTAAAAATGTGACAAATCAATTCTCAGCTGAAGGTGTTGTAGGATATGATGCTTTGTCCTTTATGAACTCAGCTAAAAATAATGTCATTAAAATACTCAATAACAATAAAGGATCAAAAATTACTATTGATCTTTTATGTGAAATGAAGAGTACTGATATTATAATAAGAGAAACTATAAGGGGTATTCCAACTTTTAAATCTTTATCAGAAGTTGTTTTAGAATCAACAGATTTAAATGACTTTTATGAAAGGGCTAAAGAAAAAAATTTAGAATCCATGGCTACATTTCAACGAACAAAATCAAATTGGAGATTTGTATCAGTTGTAGAGATGAATATAAATATCATTGAATATAAGCCTATTAAAGGTAAATCTTACATTCCTCTTCCTAAAGAGTTGGCAGCTGAAAAAGCAATTATTAACATGAAGAATGAAGACAACGAATGCTTTAAGAATGCTTTAAAGGATAAACTGAACTTTCATAACCAAAGACATTAACACTAGTGTCTTGATTACTTTCTCAAATTGAGTAATCTGTTGTAGTGACACTGGGAATTTTATTTTTTTCCCAATTTAATTTCTCAGATTGTTCTTTTAAATCATTATCTAGTCTTTCAGAATTTTTTTCTTTAGTATTAAAAAATCGAGCAACACACCATACTAAAGAAAAATATTCTGAAAGAGTAGATAAAGATTCAAAAGAACAATCTGAGAAATTAAATTGGGAAAAAATAAAATTCCCAGTGTCACTACAACAGATTACTCAATTTGAGAAAAATAATCAAGACATAAGTGTTAATGTTTTTGGTTATGAAAGTTCAGTTTATCCTTTAAGAATATCAAATTTTAAAAATAGACAACATAAAATAGATTTATTACTCATTTCAAATGATGATACAAATCATTATTGTTTAATAAAAAGTTTAAGTAGATTACTTTCATCACAAATATCTAAAAATGAATATGAAATGTTTTATTGTAGAAGTTGCTTGTTAGGATTTAGTACTGAAGAATCTTTATCAAAGCATAAATTGTATTGTGATACTCATGATTCAGTACGAATAGAACTTCCAAAACCAAATACAATGATTGAGTTTAAAAATTATAACAAGTCTATGAGAGTGCCCTTTGTAGTCTATGCAGACTTTGAAAGTTTTATAAAACCAATCAACACTTGCTCACCTAATCCAAATGAATCTTATACAAAGCAATACTAAAAGCATACACCTAGTTCATTTTGCTACTATATTAAATGCTTTGATGAAAAAATATATTAAAGTAAACTAGTTGCATTCACTGCAAGTAATGAAGATGAAGATGTAGCACAAAAATTTGTTGATATGCTAGAAGAAGATGTAAAAAAGATTTACAACGATTATTTAAAATTTCCAAAAAAGATGATATTTACTAATAAAGATAAAAATAATTTTGATAATGCAAAAATATGCCACATTTGTGAAAAAGATCTTAAGGAAGATAGAGTACAAGATCATTGCCATATTACAGGAAAAAATAGAGGCGCTGCACATAGCGATTGTAACTTACAATTTAAAAATCCAAAATTCATTCCAGTACTATTTCACAATTTATCTGGTTATGACTCTCACTTGTTCATAAAGAAATTGTCAGAAGGAGGAAAAATAAATTGCATTCCTAACAATGAAGAAAAGTATAACAGCTTTTCTAAAGAACTTAAAGTAAATGAATTTACTAATAAAGAAGGTAAAAAAGTTGAAGTTAAACTACAACTACGTTTTCTCGATAGTTTTAAATTCATTGCTGCTAGTTTAGATAGTTTAACTAAAAATTTATCAAAAGATCAATGTAAAAATATTAGTAGATACTATTCTGGAAATGAACTCAATTTATTGTTAAGAAAAGGTGTTTATCCTTATGATTGGGTTGACTCTATT